ATGGTAAAGAAATTAAAAGCACGGTACCTAGTTCTTGTTTGACTTTTTGAACAATTCCGATTATCCTGTCTTTGGAAGTCACTGTAATTCGCATTGACTTTAATAAGCATGGTGCGTATTGTATACCTACCGAAATATTGCAGTAAACTGAGAATCAAATTTGTTACTTATAGATTTCTTACTTCTAAACTTTAAGTAAATAATGATGTACATAGATAAATCTGAATAGATCTAAAATATTTAGTTAGGAATAAGAATTTAATTGGTAAAATCTCACACCACAAATCAGACTAATTCGGCATCAAATGATTTGAAGTTTCAACATTAATATCTTAAATTGCACTGCCATACTAATTTGTGTACATTATTCTTCTAGTTTTTCTTGAACAACTTGTCATGAAATTTGTTCATTGAAAGGAAAATTCCGTTGTGTGTATTTTTCAATTCATTTTTTTGAAAGCACAGATCATGTCAGAATCAAGGAAGCAAAGGAAAGTAAAAAAAGGTTTGCGATGTATATTGAGAACGCGACAAATCAAAACAGCTTAGATTTTTTTTCTTTTCTTGAGCCAAAGAATAGCAAAGCTACTTACATCAATATAACCCCAGCCTGCTAACATCGCTTTTTCCTAATATGGTGGATTCTTCATTAATGCTACTCGACCCACAGCCGAGGTAAATTTAAATGAGTTTTTCATTCTCACTTACTACAGATTATATTTTTCATGCATAAGATAGCTATGAGCGGAATAGACGTTAGGATTATGTTTATTATTGTCACCCACATGCGCTACGATATAAGGGTGAGGTAGACAGTAACTCGCGCAATGTGCTGCAGTTAATAACAAATACTGATTCAGGATTGATGATTCACAAAGCCAATACTTTACATCGTTTCTTTCTTTTAAACATCTGACTTTAAGGGCTGCAGAATGTGGAACATCCGTTATATTTATATACGTACCACCGAAAATTTTAGGCTCTGGGTGGAATTTGCCGTTAACTATCCGGTATAAAACGGTACAAATAAATAAAGGTACTAGCATAGCTTCTGCTGCTGCACGAAGCTAAATGATTTAATGTCGTCTAATACTTTCTATTAAGTGCGGCCGTTAAAGTTTTATGTATAAACATTCTGAAGTACACGAGGTTTCTTAAAATGATGTAGTAATCACATTGAACGTCACGTTGAAAGGATTTTTGCTTGGCGCTTATCCGATAGGCTATACCAGTTACATTCCAAATTACAATGATATGTAAATTCTAAACATCATAAATGTAAGTAACTTCGGGACACATATAGGGGGGTGGGGGCTAATCGGTTATCGCTTTTCTATAGCACTATGAACAGTGATAAAAAATTGCCCCCAATGGCACTCCTTCAGTAACCAAATCATTCAATAGGTGTATTGAATGATTTGGTTATGGTTATGGTTATGCAGATTTTAAGTAGATTTTCGCGAAAATTTGTAAGTACCAAAAAAAGTTGAAAATTAAGATCAAATTTTCAACTGTTTTTATTTTTTTGCAATTTTTCTTTATTTGTGCTGTAAGACGTTTATTTTTGAGAAAATTCTTTCTTGAGAAAATTCTGAAAAATAAAAAAATATGAAAATTAAGGTAAATTTTGGTACTTACAAGTTTTCTGCGAAATCGAAATTAGCCCATATTTTTTTGTCGTGTTGACTCAGGACCTTGATTTTATACACCTAATAGGGACCTTAGACCTCAGTATCTGGTATAAATTTCAACTTGCTAGGTCTACCCTTCCTAAGAAAATCGGTGGTGACATACGGACAGACGGACAGATGGATAAGAAAGTGATCTTATAAGGGTTCCTTTTTTACCTTTTCAGATACGGAGCCCTAACAAACCCTATACAAATCTATCACTTGGTTAATTGGAACTCCACGTCTGTGCGTCACAGGCGTTTATAGGTGATGGTAGTCGTTTTCCATCAAGTGACCCAGACGGCAAACGAGCGTCTGCTCTACCTTCATCATAAAAAAATAAGTCCCCAACTATGCGTACACAGCATAATCACATAGGACTGTGACTGACTGTGTGTTTGCCTACAAAAATTGTATTCTTGAAGAATCGTCGGAGTCTTTATCAACGGATTTCATCAATTTGCTCTACGATGATACTACACTAAAACTCAAGCTGGAGATGGAATGGACGTATGAGACGAGTGAGCGCAGAACTTGGCCTCTCTATCAACAAATCCCATACTAAAATCATGGATCGCACTAAACAATTGGAGGTCAGATTGAGTTTTGGCCTCCAATATTTGGAAAAACAATTATATCTGTGTAACACTAGAAAAAAAATAGAATTTGTCTGAGCCATTCATACAAATTCAACATTCGGAGATGCATCGATATGGTGAAAACCGCAATGACTCAATTGAGTAAAATCTGTGGCGTCTGCTCGTTTGCCCCTCTTATACAAAAAAAAAACTTTATAAAGACTAAACTTTTCCTTGTGGGGACAGTCGTGTTCTAAGAATATTAGGGGTTAAAGTATGAAATAACCGATTTGTACTTAAAAAAATTGGGACTCGTTTTTTTCTAAGATATAAAATATTTACTTTCATTATCTATACATTGCTCTCATCTAAACGGAAGGACATTTATGCAATTACGATAGAACTCTGGGGAAAACTGTGTGAAAGCATTTTGTACTGCCTCCTTGGAAGAACATTTTACATCACGTAGAAAATTGTCCAAATCAAGAAAAAAATGGTAGTCCGTTGGAGCAAGGTCTGGCGAGTACGGGAAATGATGTATGGTTTCTATCTGCAGCTCCTATAGAGTTACGACGGTTTCTTGTACTGTGTGAGGTCTTGCGTTATCATGGAGGAATAGTGGTGAAGGTCGATTCACGAGTCGGGGCTGTGTCGCTGCCAGTTTTGCCATCATTGTTCGAAGTTCGGTACAGGAAACATCTTCTGTTATTGCCGGACCAGACCTGAAAGCTATAGTGAATAACACCATGTAAAATGATTTCTACATGGTCCCCAGTTACCATTACCTTTTTATTGGTAAGCTTTGCTATAGGGCACTGTCGCGGCGTTTGACCTGGGGTCAGTCATTGCAGTTTTTGCTTACGGTTATCGTAAACAATCCACTTTTTGTCACATGTCACAATTAGATCCAATATTCCTTCATTTCTGTATCCATTCAACAAGGCACCACAAGTTTCAACACACATTTCTTTCTGCAGATTAATCAAATCAAGAGACACCCATTTTTTCATATTTTTTATCTTAAAGATTTGATGTAAATGACTCAATATTGTAGGCGGCATGGATTAACGTTACCCTAGTAACGTTAATCCATGCCGCTATTTCCTGGGTAGTTTGACTCGAATCCTTCCGCCATCTCCTTCAATTCAGCGTTATTCACCTGTGTGGGCGGTCTTCCACGTGGTTCGTTCTTCAAGTCGATGTTTCCATTACGAAAGCGTTTAAACCAAAAACGCACGGTGCGTTCATTAGCAGTCTCCTCTCAAAAGTCGAATACAAATGTAATTTTTTTTAAAGAAGAACCTCATAGGTATCATGTAAAAAAAAGTTTTATAAATCTCACACCATGAACGTTTTATGTCAATTGAAAGTATCTTTTACTAAACAAAGGCAATTTCATACTTTAACCCCTATTACTACGAATAGTTTAACGGCTCACAATATAAATGTGCCAATTTTACATGAAGTGGGAATAACCGTAAAACTTTCGAAGGCCTGCGGAGTAACAGGAAAAATAGATTGAAAGAGGCCAAGAAAAGGATTTTACTGACGAAGATTTACCTTATTAAAATAGACGTGTTGTAATGATACATTTAGGAAACATTAAGTAATTTTGTCTCTTTATATACGTTAACGATTGGAGTTAAATACTTGTAGTGAAACAGAACTTTAATCAATTTATTTTGAGGCTTTTGCAGCATATTAAGATGTGTTTTAGCAGCCGATCCCCACACCTCTATTAATTAATCAATATAAGGTTTCACCATTTAGTTGTAGATTGTGTATTGGACGTTAATGGGAAGACATCTTGAAATATTTCGGAGAAAACCTGTTACCTAGAAGTTATTTGACATTTTCTGTATTTTAATTAGGTACATAAAGACTGAAAGCAAGGCGCATTATAATTAACCTGTCACAATAGGTACATCTTCTAATACATAAGTTTTAAACTAGTGTACGCTTTTTAAAGTATTATCATGTAATTTATCAAATAAAGGATCATGCAGTTAAAGTATTTAAAGTTTAAATACAGGATGGATTTATTTTCAAGACTATGATATCCAGTGCACCTATCCAGTATACTCGTATATGTTCATATATATTGACCCGCCATATTATATACAGATCAAGTTATACTGGCTTTCGTAATAAACCCAAAATATAAAAAGATCGGCATTTGACCACAAGACAACCTCTGGTATAGATTAATGAGAATCGATGGCAATTATTTTGTAAATTTGACACATGAGACAATATCCATCTAAAATTTAATATATGCTTCTTTCTATAAAATCACATCCCTCGGCGCAAATACGTTAGAAATAAATTGACTGCACGGTTGGCGTAGTTTTTTAAGCGGTCGCCACGCCGCTTCCTACTACGCCGAGTGTTGCTGGTTCAAACCCCACATGGGACGACACTTTGTATGACCCACAAATTGTTGTTCTGAGTCTGGGTGTTCTTTGGGTCCGTTTCATGTATGTTTGTAAAGTCCCCCCGCGACACAGGATATATTTCTAATGCGGGCGTAGTCTTAGTAGTCGTAGTAGAAAAAAAATGAAACTGCTAACGTATTGATAACTTATACTCAAAATAAGTATTTCAATAAGGCATTAGGGAGTCGTATCTATGTATAAAAGTAACAGTGAGATGTCCAGGGCTGGTGCTTGTATGTGCTTGTGCCTACTGTCCAAAAATTTTTTGTCGCACCATGGTAATTAAACTCGAGTGAGATTGAGTGAGTGATATAAATTCAGAAAAAAAATCTTCCCTCAGGGTGACCACAAAAAATAAAATTTGCAGCTTGTTTAATCCAGTCGTAATAGTATCCTGTGTCCGAGTAATAGACTATTGGTCTTTGTACTGTTTTGAAGGACACCAAACCTATTTGAATGTAGTTTCTAACGATAAGAGCACTGCCGGAGTCGCCCCTGTAAAAGAATATATTATAAAATAAACACAAAGAATAATAGGCAACTATAATAATAATAATATTGTACCACATTCAAACAACGCCATCTAGTCCCAAACTAAGCAGAGCTTGTACTATGGCTACTAGACAACTGATATAAATACATATATACTTTTTTTTTTGTAAATACATTGAAACACCCAGACCAAATCAAACATTAAATGTTCAAGCACACAAATGTTTGACTTGAGCGGGAATCGAACCCGCGACCTTTGGAATAGCAGTTCGTTACACAAACCACTATGCCATCCGGTCAACTAAGTCCCCGAAGGCGAGCCAGAGACGTTCTAAGCACTTGTGTTAACTATAATGTGCAAACTATAATTTTAACTTCACTTACATAACAGCGGGCAATCCTGTTGCTATCAATCGAGCACTTTAGGTGATAGGACAATTGTAAAGAAGGAAACAGGGTTAGATACATACGAGTATAGCTTTCACCGAAGGGTTAGAAAATATAAGTTCCTATAGCTCGAGGAGATCAGGATCCCATACCCGTAACTCGAATTGTACTACAATACTACTAATTATATTATTGTATAGTAAATATAGCGACTAAAATATGCATTTATTAACTCAAACCCAAGCTAATACAAGGAATTCTATTAGTTTTTATTGGTAAAGAATTTAAAATCAAATTTCATAGGTAAATTGCCACTGATAATGAAGAGACGAATATTCACGAAAGCAAATACGAATATTCGGTACACTGTTAATTGACGAGTGGAACTCATCACTGGACGTGTAACGTATATAGCTACAGGGCGAGAAGTATCCTTTTGCTTTATGAGAGCATATCTCTCCCTGCTCAAAAAATCATCTCGTATTGCACTACCTTCAAGTTTTACTTTTGTGAAAAGAAAGACCCGTGCCAATTTCTTTAGATTCTCATCTGTATATTTTTTTTTATTTTGGTATGTATACCAAAATTCAATAAAATGGTTTAAGTGGTACAATGCAACAGACAGTTAGAGAGTGTGTACATCTATTCTTCACACATCAGCAGCCTTTAATAGTCCACTGCTGGACATAGGCCTCTCCTTAGAAAGGAGGTTTTGGCCTTACTATACCACGTTGGCCAGACGGATTGGCATAGGGTTTGTGTCAAGTTTTCCTTCCCTGTGCAGTGTTGTTGTTCTGTGTAATTTTTCCTTATATATATACTCATCATACGAGGGCGGGGTTGGGTGTGCTCCAAAAGGCCAAGATCGCCTGGAGCAGATCCAATCCTGGTACGCCCTCCTGTCCGGAGGGCGTACACGGCGAATGGTCATGGGGGAGAGCGCAACAGTCGTGTAGATCCCCATGGCAAGTCTGGGTGTCATCCTTCCCGTGGTTGCCGCCTGTTTTAGGTCTGATTCCCTACGAAACAGATATAACAGAAACACCCAGACGCAATCCCATCCCACAAAACCTATCCCTTCCCATTTTCTATCCCATCCACACCTACTGCGGACACTAAGTGGTTGGTGCCTGCGGCCTCACTATCAACAAAGACTGAGAGTGAGGGGGAGGGGGGGCAACCACCCGCATGTTTGTGCCGTGTGCGGGGACCCGTAAGGGAGGATGAAGGGATCCTGGTAGTTGAGCTGAAAGGCAACACACTGCTTTGGCCTGGATTTCTCTTTACACGGGAGGCTGAAGGCTAGCCACCTTTGGTCAATCGGCTGTAGTATCCCGTCAGAGGGCTGCTGGGCGAGAGCTCTTCCTTGGTGGGGATGGACGACGGGTGGGACGACCAAGTCTTCCTACCTAGTTCGGCCTGCCTTCTGCCAGGGAGGGAGCTCTATATTTCCTTGTCACTTCTGGCGTCGTGTGCCTTCTGCCGCGGCGTCCCCACTTGAGGGCTCCAAGGAGGGTGGAAGGACAAGGAGATGAATAGTATACCAAAAAAACTATGGATACTAAAAAACCAACTAATAAAAAAACCACCAAGCCGGTACCGAGGGTGAACAACCCAAGTGCCAGGCTAAACCACCAATCGGCTGACCCCAGGGTGAACAACCCAAGGGTGAATCCGGCAAATACACCATTGGCTGCTGCTCAGGCAAACAACCCGACCGCAGCGCCATCCACGACTCTGGCGACACCTCTGGTGTCTAACCAGAATACGGAGCCAGTGTCGACCATCGACCTCTCCTCTTTGAGGGCAGCAATGCCCGTACCTGCGGGACCCGGCCTGGAAGAAACCGGCTGGAGCCTGGTAAGGACAAAGAAGAGAGCGTCGAAAAAACCAAACACGTCCAAGAAGACCCGTAACGCCAACAGGGCGAAAGCCCGAGTGGAAAGGCAAGCACGGTGTCTGACCTCGGGTGGAAGTAAGCGGCTTGAAGTCGCTGAAGGGCCCGAAGGGGCCCACGTTGCCCCCGCCAGTGACGTGCTGCCCCGAGGCGAAGACGAAAGTCAAGCCACGGGGAAGTGTACTCCTGTGGGGGCGCCACCTGCCAAGACGCCTGTAGCGGCCAAAGTACCCTCTAGGCAGGGTCAACCTGGACAGGGTAAACGGGCGAGGCGAGCGACACGTGGAGGGAAACCTTCAAGTGATACAAAGCCCGTCAAAAGAACTCGCCCGGACAAGTCTCGCACTCCCCAGGGCAGTGGCAAGCGATTCAAACCGCTGCCAAAGACCGGCTCCACGAGTTACTCCGACGCACTAAAGGCGAATGACCTTTGCGTCGCGGTCATGCTGGAGCCTTACCACGACCTCACTAAGGCACAGGCAGAGGACATCGAGGGCCAGCTGCAGGGCGTGCTAGATGAGGAGATCTTCTCGCCCGGCACGTCAAGCGCACCCGTCGCTGCGCCACAGTTTAGGGGCAAGGCCTTCTACAGTGAGGGCGCCCTTAAGATGTGGTGCAACGACGAATATGCCCTACAGTGGCTTCGCCGATCCCTGGTAAGGATCCCATCACCACGTGAAGGCACCAAACTGGTCGTCAGGAGGCAGTCTGAGATCCCGAAAAGGATCAAGGCTGGACTCCTGGTACCACAAATCGGACCAGATGACACACTGGTCCGTATTCAAACGAGGCTAAAGTACCAGAATAGCCAGTACAATGTGGCCAACTGGGCCCTCTACCATGCCGAGGCGCAGGAGGAAAAGAAATGTCTCTTCCTAGTGCTCGGCATCCCAGAAGAGGACGTCGTGAAGCTCAAGGCTAGCGAGCGTAGAGTATACTACAAACTGGGTAACCTCTACGTTCGCTTCCTTGATGAACGTCCCGCCCCACCAACCAACCCAAACGAGGAGCCATTCGAGGGAGGAGGAGAATCGGCCCTACAACACCCTAAGGACGGCAATGGAGGGGATCCTCTGAGACCCGTTGAGGAGACAGCCTGCCGGGGTCCACCTCCTGAGGAGTTGGAGGACCTACCGGTGGGCGAGAGTGACCTCGACGACATAGAGGATATGCTGAACAGCGATGATGGCGCTGTCTGCACCCCCCCATAACACCCTTATAGCCATCCAAACCAACCTCCAGCACAGCTATACAGCAACGGCTACCCTACGCAGAGAGCTGGAGGTAAAAACCAACACCGTAGCCCTAATCCAGGAGCCGTGGATTAGGAAGGGCAGGATCTGCGGTCTAAATAATATTGGAGGTAAGATACTTCTCAACACTACCATTGATAACCCGCGCACTTGTATTTATACACCAAAACATGCGTGTACTACCTTAATGACCGAGTTCTGTTCCAGAGACCTTACCTCTATTAGGTTAAAGGAACCCTCATCAAACCTGCCTGACGTGGTGATAGCATCAGCCTACTTGCCGGGCGATGCTGACATCCCCACTCCGGAGCTGGCTGCGCTGGCACACCACTGCGAGCGCGAGGGTCTGGAGCTGATCATCTCTGCCGACACCAACGCGCACCATGCGCTGTGGGGCAGCAGGAGCAACAACCGGAGAGGTGAGGAATTTGTATCGTTCCTATTATCAACTAACCTTAACATTATCAACGTGGGCTCGGAGCCGACATTTGTCACGTCCAGGGCCCAAACTATAATTGATCTTACATTAGCAAGTGAGCACGCATCGCAACACATATCGAACTGGCATGTTTCGAACGAAGCATCGTGCTCAGACCATCGCTGGATCAAATTTAACTTTGAAATGAAACTTAAACTACCCGATCCCCGACGGAATCCCCGCACGATGGACCGGAAACGGTATGAACATCTTACTGCGGAGAATCTGCGAAGCATCAACCCAACATACGCTACGGGGACTGTTAAGGACATTGACAGTCATGTTGTCAACCTTACACAGACACTGATCGATTGCTTTGAACAAACATGCCCACTTTCCACACCCAGAACTGGACCACAGAACAAACACCAATGGTGGGGTCCGGAACTGGAAAGACTACGTCGTAAAGTGAGAAAGTTGTTCAATAAAGCAAAAAACTCGCGATTAGACCAACATTGGGATGCCTACACGCAGGCCCGACAACAATATAAGAAGAGAATCAGAACCAGGAAAACTGAGTGCTGGAGAAACTTCTGTACTAACATAGAGAACAACAACCAGGCCAATAGAGTCAAAAGCATACTGTGTAGTAGAGGCGAACACAATCTTGGCTCACTGAAGAAGCCTGATGGTGAGTATACCAAAACAGACTCGGAAGCCTCAGAGCTGTTATTAAAAACACACTTCCCTGGATGTCGCATATCAGATGTGATGGAAAAATGGGAAGACAGATGGGAAAAACCACCAGATGATACAGACTGGGATACGGCCCGCAAAGTTGTCACCCACGACAAACTAAGATGGGCAATTAACAGCTTCCTACCATTCAAGGCGCCAGGACTAGATGGTGTCTTCCCAGGCCTACTGAGATGGTGTGATACGACATTACTGGACCATCTTATAAAAATCTATAGGGGCTGCCTGGCGCATCAGTACATCCCCTTGAAATGGAGAGAAGTTAAAGTAGTCTTCATCCCCAAACCTGGTAAAGGTGACTACACACAACCCAAATCACACCGACCTATTAGTCTCACATCTTTCCTACTAAAGGTTCTTGAGAGGCTAATAGATAGGGAAATCAGGGAAACTGCGTTAGTCAGTCATCCTCTACACCTCAATCAACACGCATACTCGATGGGTAAATCAACAGAACCTGCCCTACATCGAGTTGTTTCATATATAGAAGACAATCTAAATCACAAAAGGTCAACACTGGCCACCTTTATCGATATCGAGGGAGCCTTTGACAAGACCAACTTCACCAGCATTAGCCAAGCTCTGTCTAGGCATGGTGTTGATTCCACAATCTCATGGTGGATCGACAGCATGCTAAGATATAGAGCTATACAATTCACTGTGAGCGAAGTGACTAGAGGAGTGGTGGCTAGAGGTTGCCCCCAGGGCGGTGTACTCTCCCCCCTTCTATGGAACATTGTTGTGGATGAGCTCATCGCACAACTTAATGACCAAAGATTCCTCACAATAGGCTATGCAGACGATCTTACCATTCTCATCAGCGGTCCTTTTGAGAGCATTACATGCGATCAAATGAGACTTGCACTGAAGATCGTGGAACAATGGTGCGCAGCACACAACCTGACAGTGAACCCTCCAAAACAGTGATGATCATGTTCACAAACAAACGCAGCCTAGGAAATCTCAGACTTCCCAAGCTATTTGGAACACAACTTACTCTTACCAAAGAGGTCAAATACCTAGGAGTAATACTGGACAGTAAACTCCTGTGGAATAAGCACCTCGATGAAAAACTGAATAAAGCCTGCATTATTTTCTGCCAATGCAAGCGGCTACTCGGCAAAAGCTGGGGACTATCACCCAAAATTACTTTATGGCTATACAGGACAGTCATAAGACCAATAATCACTTACGGTGCTGTTGTCTGGTGGCAGAGAACAGAGCTAAGCACCGTCATAAACAAACTGCAGCAATTCCAGCGACTCCCATGCTCCGCGGTCACTGGCTGTATGCGCACAACGCCTACTGCCGCACTGGAGGTGGCTCTTGGTCTGCCACCCCTGGATCTATTCATACAGCAGGAGGCCGCCATGGCGATCATTAGACTCAAACACCTGGGTCTATGGCACAAAAGGGAGGGATCGCACTCAAAATTATGGGATCAATTGGTGGAATACGAACCACTGATAGCAGCTCCATGCGATAGAATCCCAAAACACCATATCTTCACAAGAAGATACTACATCCAGATACATGGAAATGACCGAGATCAATCCGGCATTAACGAAGTCCGAATTTACACGGACGGTTCCAAGACTAGGTCAGGAACTGGAGCCGGAGTTTTCTCGCAAGACCTAAATATAAACATATCACTAGCGTTAGGCCAACACAGCTCCATATTTCAATGTGAATGTGTGGCAATAACTTACGCCGCCACAACGGCCATGTCAAGGGGTATCAAGGACTACAACATCCGAATAATATCCGACAGCATGGCCGTCTTAAAGGCATTGGAGGGCAACACAATGACCTCTGGTATTGTCCTCGAATGCCACCAAGCACTGGAACAGCTCGCTATATTCAATGGGGTACTCCTCCAATGGATTAAAGGGCACAGTAACTCACACGGGAACGATGCCGCAGATGAGTTGGCAAGGAGGGGCTCGGCAACCCCAACCTCTGGCCCAACCCCACTCCTGCCCATATCGTTTAACCAAATACGATGCTGGGTCAGGCAACGGACCTGTGAAGCACACAACCGGAGGTGGAAAAACTCACCCGGCTGCAGACAGTCCAAACTGGTGCTGAATCAAGTCACGCCACGACTAACCTGCAGACTGATCAGTCTTAGCAGACCGGAAATCAGAATGGTTGTCGGAACTATTACAGGACATCTAGCCCTGAACCGACAACTATTCATAGTCAATGCGACGGACAGCCCCCTGTGCAGGGGGTGTCTGGAAGCTGAAGAAACGGCCGCCCACGTAGTCCTGGAATGCGAGGGAGTGGCCACACAACGGGCAAATATCATTCCTGATATAAAGTCGCTCCTAGAAGCCTGTGAACGCCCCAGGAGGCTTCTGCGCTTCTGGAAGGAGCTTGGCTGGCTCACCTAGTCAACCAATCCCCGACGCATAAAGGACCACTCTGAGTCTAAATGCGGAAACCGAGGCCCACAACCAATACCAATACCAATACTCATCATACGACACCCACCGGATGAATAGGGGCGGTGACACTCTGTATTCTGAATCCGTCACCACACGGATCTATTCTTAATACATTACACACAATACACAAAGTTTAGATTTACATTCCAATTTTCAATTTTCGTTATTCAATAAGTAAATTTTGTGCTTGTTAGAATGAGACGCATTCAGGGACGCCGTCCTAATTCTGGTATGTGCCGTTTTTCTGCAGCCCTACTGGCGGTAACATAAATCAAGTTTTGAGAATTGTTTGCAAGAGTGCAACATCTCCACTATGCAGCAGACCCCTTTTAACAAGAATTGCCAAAATATTTACAATCTTTGCTGATGTTTTGAAGCTGTTACTATGTAACTGTACTATGTAAGTGGAACCACAACTTAATGCGAGGGGCATTCTTTGCCTGTCCCTTAAGTTGTATAAAAATGAATGTGCCGTCATTATGTTCTTTCTCAACCCTAATATGTAATTTAACTATTCTTACTTTGAGGCATGTTCTTGTTTGTCGAGACTAGATACACAAAGTAGACCTTCATGTTTGGCTTTCAATATTTTATTACAATCTGCAGTTTGCCAGACAAGTTGATCCACAGCTTTAAGTTTTTTTCCTGATATCGATTTAACCTCCTGAAAGATTTTATTTATTAGATTAAAACGACTAAATTTTACAATGAGTCATAATGGGTACATAAATTAAACCTGCCTGGTACCTAGTTCATGTATGGTTTGACTTTTATAAATAGATTTGGTATGGTGCGTATACCAAAGTATTGAGGTGAACTGAGAATAGAATTTATTACTTCTAGATTTCTTGCTTCTAAAATTTAAATAGATAATAATGTACTTTACTTAACTTTAAAATGAATAAGTGTGCTACGTGCACACGTAGATAAATCTCATCTCACACGTAGATAAGTCATTAGACTAATGTGGCATCAAATGATCTGAAGTTTTAACATAAATAATATAAATATACTATTATTAAATTGCTCTGCCGTACTAATTTGCGTACATTATTCTTCCAGTTTTTCTTGGACAACTTATTATGAGATTCCTTTCCTTAAAATAAAAAACCCGTTGTGTTGTGTGGATTTTTCCGTTATGTGTATTTTTAAGTTGAATTAAACGTTCAGATCACACCAGAATCAAGGAAAGTAAAAGAAAGTTTGCGATGTATATTGAGAACATCACAAATCAAAATAGTTTAAAAATAACATTTTCAATTTTAATTCATTTCATTTTTCTAGATACACAGAAAAGCAAAGCTACTTACATCAATATAACCCCAGCCTGCTAGCAGCGCTTTTTCCGTGTATGGTGGATTCTTCATTAAGGCTACCCGACTCACAGCCGAGTTAAATTTAATTTCATTTTTCATTCTTATTAACGCTATATCATTAGCAAAAGTTGTATGATTATAATCTTTGTGAATAATATAACTTACAGCGGAATAGACGTTTGGGCTAACTTTATTATTGCTACCCACATACGCTAAGAAATAAGAATGTTCTCCGCAGAAAAACGCGCAATGCGCTGCAGTTAACAACAAACGCTGATTGACGATTGATGATCCACATTGAACATACGTCTCAATGTTATTTTGTTGCAGACATTTCACTTGGAGGGATACAGAATGTGGAACTTCTGTTATGTTTATATATCGGCCATTGACAACCTTAGGCTCCGGTTGGAATTTTCCATTAACCATCGGATATAAAACGGCACAAATAATTAAAGGTACTAGCATTTTTGCTGTGGCACGAAGCTAAATGATTAAATGACGTCCAATATAGTGATTAAGTGCGGTCGTTAAAGTTTTATGTATTAACATTATGACGTACACCAGGTTACTTAAAATGATGTAACAATCATAATCACATTGAAAGTCATATTAAAAGTAATTTTATGGCTTGGCGCTTTTCCAATAGGCTTTTCGTAACTTACAAACGCATTCCAAATTACAATGAAATGTAAATTCTGAACATTATAAGTGTACGAAACTTCGGGACACACAATTTGGGGGAAAACGATAATCGCTGTGTATAGCACTATGCAAAATTTGCCCCCAATGGTGATTTCCTTCAGTAACCAAATCATTTAATACCCCTACATGCATCGTGGGTATCTATGCCGCTACAAAGAAGCTACCTGCTGTATTTTATCCACAACATGTTCACTCAATTCCTAAAATACCTTCTAAAAAATGCCCCTTATGAAAAATCAGTAAAAAATACTTTTGACCGCAAAATTATACTGTTATAACCTCATCTAACCCGAAATGATTCACAAACAATACAGGGGTACAATTTTTTTTTTTTTTTTCGTGCGGCAATCCCCTCGGATACCACAGGCATGTCGGACTCGAACCGACTAAAACCGCACGCCGTCTCGGGTAACCAGGTATACCCTAGAAAGGAAGTCCCTGGTGCCCCGACATACCTCGGGCCATCTACAGACGAGTAGACGACCCCCGTAGGGGTACAACTGGTACTGAAATACAGATAACTATGTAAGTATTTTATAACTAAATACTGCTTACTAAAACTTATTGATTAATTCTGTTCTGTCATATACAATGATCATCATTAACCTTCTATAAATAGATGTGGATGTGGAGTTGAGACAATATGCTCAACGCTATCCAGGTGAGTGTTATTGACCTGTAAGAGAAATATAATTTATATATAACATAAAAAAACTGAAACAATACAGTAGCTGGATTAATGAAAGATGTTAAAACCTGGGGTACCCCAGCCTCCTTCACTGCTAAGCCAGTAGCTGCTTGCACACAAGTGATTTTTAACCCTCTCTGCTTCAAGTATGTTAGCTTGGTAAACATGGCAGGGCCACCACCAGTCGCATTAGCTGATCTGTGCAAGTGGGCAGCTTTTTTTTAGTATTGTTCTTAAAATCAGTCCATACCTAAAACCATGCAAATAAGCATACAAAATAAGATAATTACAACATGCTTTTAACTAAAATAGGTACAACATACAACATTTTCAGTACAAACATTTATACAAACTTTCTTCCACTTTTCAGTAGTCTTGGTACATCCACTGCCATCACTGTTGAACAGCCGATTACATAAAAGTTTTCTGAGATTTCCATGCCTAAAACGCAATAAAATTAATAAGTCTTGTTTACTGAACTTCATTTTATGTTTATTAAACACTAAATAACGTAAATACTACTTACTGCTCCATAAACGTCACCATTAATTCAAATTGTGATGAACTTGTCTTCATTTTGGTCGTATGTATAAAAATAACAACCAAAGATCACAACTTCTTTATAATTTTTTTTGTAAACAATACAAAGTTGAAAGTTTTTGTCTGACAAGACAATCAAATATGGCTGCCAAATTTTTTTTTTCTTATCATATTTGATTTAATAAAACTACAAATTATTTATCAAAAATATTATTGAATTTTGAAAGTTTAATTTATCACACGATATCAAGTAGTACCAACTTAACTAAATAGTAATTCACCATTCACGGTGCGTAAGCGCCTGTCGAACGGTTAGCTTCACTTTAACTCAAACTCACCTTCCTTCGGTTCTCGACGTTCGTAAAGTTTACTCGTTATTCACGGTGACAGTCATGCGAGCATTTTTAGACAACTCGCACTTGGCACACTAGTGTAAGTTTATTTCACATCTAGTCGCTCTTGAGCGCGTTTAACGTTGTGATTGGTGGAGATTTCAGTGCGGGACAAGCAACGTCGAACGCGGTCACTGTGACGAACGAGTAGATGTGAAATCTTACATAAAGAAATAATAAATAAGATAAATAAATAATGGTATTTCTTTATCTTAGTGTGAAATAAACTCGCACTTGGCCCTCTGACGCTCGACATTGCTGCTTGCTTCGCTTGCTCGCCTTCGCTTTTAAATGGTTCTGTTCTAACCTAACGCAAATTTAACTTTACCGTATGTTAGTCCGTAAAGCCATTAGTCTGCAGCTTACCTAGGAAGTCTTCAGATTACCTAGTTAATGTAAGAACTGTAATAATTTGTTTAACTTTATCGGACTCGATCGGATAATCTGCAGATTTGTTAGTTGTACAAACATTTTGTCCGACCAAGGAATCGAATCCAAGACCTCAGCACACCAGTCGCATATGCTATCACTACACCACTGAGGCAATCATATCGGTCCAGGGATAAGATAGATTTTAGCGTCAATCGAATTCAATTCGAGTTTTACTACGAGGGGCATACTGAAAGTCTCTGGATCTGGCCACCCACACAAAAGAATATAAAAACAATTATGAAATTCAAAGATGGAACTATATGATGTAAATTATTATGATTAAATGAACGATTGAGTAAAAAAAATTGTTGCTTTAGTCACTAATGCATCAAAGAATGCTCAGCTATTATTTATAAAAAAACTATAAATAGTAAAATAGTAAAAATCGTTTAAAACCGTACATGTTGCTTAGACTTTTTTATGTGTGTATTTCGGGCATCTAAAACACAACACCATCTAGTTCAAAGCTATATTGACTGATAGAATACTTACCTAAACACTTTTCTGTAAATATATATTTGCCTATTATACATAGAAAACACCCAAACTCCGAAACAAATATTTGCAGATCATGCAAACATTCTGGGATCCAACAGACCTCAGCACAGTCGATTGAGATCGTGTTCATCATTATTTATTTGATAACATAATTTACCGATTAAGATATTGTATTAAAAAAACTGTGCGATAAGTGTACGGTTCGTAAACAAAAACAGTAAAAAAATCATAAAAAAGCAAATGAATTATAAAAAAATTGTATTAGCCAAAATTTCGGTGATTTTTAGAAAAACTCTTAGTCTAATATTTCAAAATGGTAAGGTTTGGATTATGGTATTTCATAGTAAAATCTATCAGAAATGATGGCAACTACAACCCCTTAAAGTATTTAGGTTAAATTACCCAGTAACCCTGTTTATATATAATACACAAACTAAGCAGAGCTTGTACTATGGGTACTAGACACCTGATATATATACATATATACTTTTTTTTGTAAATGAATACATATTATACATCCAAACACCCAGACCAAATCAAACATTAAATGTTCATGCACACAAATGTTTTTTTGGAGCGGGAATCGAACCCGCGACCTTTGGAATAGCTGTCCGTTACACAAACCACTGTGCCATCCGGCCGTTCAATATATATTGAACGGCCGGATGGCGCAGTGGTTTGTGTGTGTGTGTGTGGTTTAATTGTATGTGTATATTAGACTGTACAAATATTCATGTTTATTATTATTAAATAAATACAGCGCGGACAACGTACTTAAGTATGTTTAATTAAATGAATGAAGAATAAAAAGAAGAAATTTCATCAAAAGAGGAACACAATACATACAACTTTATTCAAGTTCCTACATTTTATTGTCACGTAGGCAACTGGGCACACAATAGGTAGTATCACTTCAGCTGGTGTCACGTCTGTTTTTTTTTTAAATAAATAGCTATAGGCTAGGTAATTGCAAGACCGAGACAAAGACTGAGACCAAGAGTTCAAGACTGAGAACGCAATACCAAGACCAAGGCCGGCAACGCGTTTCTGACTCCTGAGTTGCAGACGTTCATGGGCGGCGATGGTCACTTTCCATCAGGTGACCCGTCTGCTCGTCTGCCCCCTCTAACATAAAAAAAACCAAGAACAGGTGCATTGACGCAAGACCAATATCAAAACTGGCTTAAGTCATGTCTTGATATTGCGTTTGGCCAATATAGAACATATGAAGATCATATTTTCTGTATTGGCCATCATACAATGTTTGTCCTGGGTGGGAATCGAACCCACGACCTTTGACTTAGCAGTCAGAACTAACTGTATCTGACAATATAAGTCAACAGTGAAGTTGCAAAGAATTTCAATGTTTTCTTTAAGTTTTGCCGAATAAACAATACAACATCTTATTAAGACAGAGCAAAACGAGCAAGCAGGTCCCCAGGTAGTAAATGCCTACCGAGGTAGACATTGCAAGTCTCAAGAAGAGACCAATTCATAGTGAGTGAGACACTGGGAGACTTCAAGAGTCACAAATGGCTTTTAAGATCTCTCACTAGAATGGCCAGCAACGCACTTAATTAGTTACTATTCCTACATAATATCTAAAACGCGAATATGTCTATTTTGAATATAGTCATGAACTAAGAGTGTTTAGTAAGTGTGCAAGCAAGGAATGCTTTCTATTTAATTATGTTTATAGGAATTAACCCGCTCACGATAGGTATTAAGTAGGTAAACTGCCTGACGTTTCGACCAGGTTGCACTAGTCATGGTCATAAGCTGATTGGTGCAGCGGTGTGCGCCCTCCGCCGCTGACTCCGTAAGCTAGAAGTGTCTTTATCCACCCGCACTACTTCGATATTATTGATATTTGTTCCTTCAATAATACTTTCAATAACATCGAAGAAGTGTGAGTGGATGAAGAAACTTCTGAGAGTTAATTCAGGAAAACATCCATACTTAAATACTTATTTTAGAAATATGATATATATATAATACTTATTTTTGTAGAACAAGAATTTTTAGAATCAGGTTATTTAAAAAAAAATCTTTCAACAATGGAAAGCCACATTATCAGTGAGTAACATAGAGTTGTCGAGTACGAGTGAAAAGTATTATGCCTCTCCTCACATTGTGATTTAAATCGGAACGAGTGCGAATGGCAGTTTTTGGGCAATTTCCAAATAAAAAAGTTGATCTACACAAGATCAGAAGTGCTTTTCAGAATAAAGTTATCGTACTATACAAGTTCTAGTAATATATTTGAATTAGTAGTATATTTATTACATATTGAATTGGCTAACAAGGCAAAATATTTGTTGTTCTGCTTGTTTTTTTATTACTCAAATCTACAGTTTTCGCGTTTTTCGATTAATTTCTGATTTGATTCGAAAATTATCTAGCCTATTTAATGATTAGTACAAGGAGCTGATTTTAGTAATATTTCCTTCAAACTGTACTATCAGATTACATCTAAAATGTATACCTAAAAACTAGCTTCGCAATAAAACTGTTGTACAACAACGCAGTATACCTGTTCAATCTAAAATTTTATGATACCTTTGCCGGTCCATCGTTGTTTAAACCGGGCATTAACGGAGCTTTAGATGTTCAAACAAGTACTGAACAGCGATAGAGCTTAGATGAACGATCCATTACCTTGAAACAGCTTCACAGATGTAAAAGAAATAATTCTTACATAAAGAGAAAGTGAAGCAGAAAGGTGTATCAGTTTTATGGTCATAGAAGAAACGCAGGTAAATATAGAAGAGATTGTATGACGTCAGCTGCGTAATAATAATAATTTCATTCTCATTCTCTATGTTTGTTAGTAATAAGCGGTAATAATATAACCAAAGGACGGTTTAAGGATACTCCTATGCTTAATATTCACAAATGTCGAAAGTTGTTTATGTGCTTTTCAATGTTTGAAAGACAAACACGATGTATTTAAAAACAACCTACTTAAGTTTGTATCTACATACATAAAAACAATCGTTTTTCTAAATTATGCCAACTAATTGTAAGTTAATACAAATATAATGTAATGTAAAGACTAAAATGATAGGTAACAGGCACTTGGCTAGATTCTACCAGAAGCGAGTTTATTCTGTAGCTAAGAGGGCAGGTGTCGAAGTCGGCAACCTGGTTGCTTTTCATAATCGTCACTTACACTTTATTCAGTTATTTTAAAAAGTAAATAAAAAAACCGGACATGTGCGAGTCGGACTCACGCACAATGGGTTCTGTACCGTAATCTATAAAAATGGCAAAAAAAAACGCGTTTGTTTTAGTATTTGTTGTTATAGCGGCAACAGAAATACATGATCTATAAAAATTTCAACTGTCTAACTATTACGGTTCATGAGACACAGCCTGGTGACAGTCGGACAGACAGACGGACGTACAGCGGAGTCTTAGTAATAGGGTAAACCCTTTGGGTACGGAATCCTAACAAGTAAGAGAAGTTAAAGAAACCACCTAATCTACATCGCTTCGATGGGCGGCCGAATCGCTGCCGTATATAGTAAAAACAGTGACGAGCTGATTCATTTTTTGGTATAGATTTCTTATGAACTTTGGAAAGACTTGATTGTCGCTGACTCTGGTACTCTTCAATATTTGTCAGTCTGTCAAGGTATGTCAAAATAGTTACACCGTTATTCGTACGTCGTCATGGTCTATTATTTTGATATCAGCAAGGGACTCCGTAGTTAAATATTGTTGATAAATTTTAATAAATTAGGTATTCCTGATTCCTATATCTATCGTTTTATGCCAGTCAGTTGTTAAAGAGTAAAAGCCAAGCCTCGCCAAACCAACCAAGGTGAACCGTCTGCTCGTCTACCCCTTCTAACATAAAAAAATAAGGCAGTTAAGAGATACATAAAGTTTAATTTACACCGCATATCATTCTTTTTACGTTTGATGTTATCCATTCATAGAAGTAACCTGTATCGGTGTAGATTACCAAGGCCCGATTAACATTTGGTTTCTTGAAGGACACGATGCCAATCTGGATGATTTTTTTTACAACAAGAGGGCTGCCCGAGTCACCTCTGAAATAGTAAAATATAAAATAAAACATTACACTGCCTCAATCCCTTTCTTTTACAACAGTAGACGTAACCTCATCCTGACTGTCATGGAAAAGTAAAATAATAACAGAACGTGTTCACTTTTACGCAGTGACATTAATTGCTTGATGTCATTAATAAATGACGAATTTTACTTCGATTGTAATACAATATTGAATAGTTATGAATTTAGTCTGACTGAGTTTCTTAAGGCTTCTTTTCAGTCAGTTACCAGATGGAAACCTCAGTAGCATAACAAAAGAAAAACGAGTCGTAACGACGTTCAAAAGATTGAGAAGAGAAGGTCCTCTAAAGTTGGAAGGGATTAGCCGTGCAACCAAATACAGAACATCAACAAATATAAACAAAAAAAAATCAAGTTAATTAATATACAGGGCACATGTCGCTGGACTGACTGCCCTCCAGGACAATATATTTTTTTTTAACAATAACTAAGTTTTCAGCAGAACAGATTGCAAAAACACCTTTAAAAAATATAGTCATAAGACTTTAACGATAGTAAAGATCTTTATTTCACTCTAAGGTTTTATTTTTTTAGTTTAACTAATGATAATATTAGGAAAAATTTACAGACCAAAAAATCTTGATATACGAGTAGTAAGGTCTAGGTCATATTTCTCTATAAACATATCATTATAGGCGCACAGTTCCACAATTACAAAGGTGATTATAATTAATTGACTATATAGGTATTTAAAACAACAGTTTAGGTAAAGTATATAAAAAAAATATAACCCGAATGTTTTGCAAAGGATTTTTTTTTTCTTTTGGCCTTCACTATTGCGATTTTGTGTAGACTCACTAATACGAATTGTAATTTAGTTAAGGAGACACAATTGATTAAAAAAAATTGTTAGTAGGCCCAGAAGCCCCGTATACTAAAAAAAAATATTGAAGAGAAATAGCCCGTTTGAATGGAAGTCACATTTATTTTCGATATAAATTATGTAAATCACCTCTATCGTTTTAGGTAAGTACGAGGACATATAAGTATTTACTTTTATTAGATTTTTATTCATCCTGTTATTACATACTACATATACAAACTATATATATATATATATATATATATATATATATATATATATCCGATGTATATATATATATATTCATTTTTTGTTTTATAATTTTGCATTTTTTTTTGGTTAAAAATGATATCACAATGAGTAAACGCATACGGTTATAAACTACAATGTAATTAATCAAACAGTCGAAGTGCGCGGGGTCTTCAGTCCGGCCGCCAACTTATGTTAGTGTGCGTAGACTGTTTGCACGGAATACACATGTACTTATTACTTTTAAGCGATACCTACGGGGAATACCTTTGCCTTTGACAGCTGATTGTAAGTTAGATGCATATTACAAATATAGAGATATATCGTATAAATGAAATCTATTGAGACAAGGCCAGTCGTACATCCAGAATATCACAAATACAGTTAGTCCCCATTGTTACCTAAATTTTACGCGTATGAAGTGAGGGGCACAGTTAGTTATGTCTATCTATCCTACATCACATTATAAAGAATATATACATAAATATATTATTGCTTTCTTTGAGCGGCTATTGCTAAATTGTTCTCTCAAATCAATACATGCATTAACGTATATTCGCTTTATATTCGTACACCATGAGTGTATTGGTTGGCACTATCGATTCGATGATTCTGTCGTTTCAGTTAGAAGGACCTTCACTTTAAATACCGAACGGTTTTTCGGCATTCTGACTTCAACCAAGAGTATAAGTGTCGAAGCCTGGCTCTCTTACAGTTAAAACAAGTTGTTCACAATCACAAGGTAGACTGCACAGATGGCGTAGTGGTTTAAGTGGTCGCCACATGGGACGACACTTGTTGTTCTGAGTCTGGGGGATCTTTGTGTCTGTTTAACGTGACCTATTAAAATATTACGAGTAAAGTCATGATCATCATCATAATCAACAGCCTTTAGTAGTCTTCTGTATGACATGGGCCTCTCCTTGGAAAGGTGGTTTTGGCCTACTATACCACGCTGGCCAGACGGGTTGGTATACGGTTTGTTTCAAGTTTAGTTTGCTCCCTTAGTCGCCTCATACGACACCCACGGGATGAATAGAATAAAGTAATTATCAAAAAATGTTACATTGAAGCGTAGCCACGTAATGTCGTACTGCTGCCACAGAATGTGCCATTGGGTATTTTATTCAGTAAGACTTCACATTGCGGCAATTCCACCACTTTCTGCTCCGTGTATAGAAGATTTGATGTAGATTTTTCTTTTTGTTCCTAAAAAGAAACAAGTTTGTCAACCAATTGTTTTCAAATGAATACTTAACCTTAAAACAAATAAAAGGGATCTACAAAACATATGGCATTCTTTTTTCTTTTCTTTTTTTTCTTTTTTTTTTTTTTTTTTTAGACAACTCCCGCACTAGGAATAAATCCTGTGTCGCGGGGGACTTTACAAACATACATGAAACGGACACAAAGTACACCCAGACTCAGAACAACAATTTGTGGATCACACAAAGTGTTGGTCCATGTGGGGTTTGAACCCACAACACTCGGCGTAGTAGAAAGCGGCGTGGCGACCGCTTTAACCACTACGCCATTCGTGCAGTCCTAGGGCGCATCACCCCTTTTTTATAGACTACAATTAAGATCGAAAAACAGTTTCATTCGTATCATAAAATAATTTGCTTTACAAATATATAACACTAGCTTTTGCGAACGGCTCCGCTCGTATGTATGTTAGTTATTGTGGTGAAAAGTAGACTGTTACTCGCTGATTATGTAGGTGTCCTTTGGTGAAAGGATTTTTAAAATCAGTTTAGAGGCTTAGGCGTAACAAACGCACCAGGGACTTCCTTTCTTGCACCAGGGACTTCCTTTCTAGGGTATACCTGGTTCCCCGGCTATTAGTACCCGAGACGGCGCGCGGTTTTAGTCGGTTCGAGTCCGACATGCCACCGATAGGTGGTATCCGAGGGGATTCACGCACGGAAAAAAAAGGCGTAACAAACAAACAAACTCACTTTCACATTTATGATACGAGAATAATTATGGATTACCACCATGTGTATATATTTTATTTACTTTCACTTCACATAATTGTGCAAATAGTGTTTAAACTAAAATAATATATTCTTTAATGTTTTTTAAATCTTCACATTTAAAGCTTTGTTAGTCATAAATAGGCTAGGCATCTTAAAACAAAATTGATCCAATTGTTCAGCCGTTGCCGAGATACAGGAAATATGCATTTATATATATACATGTAAATAATTTGCAAATTGCTTAAAAATGTCTTACTGTTAATAAACATGTGTGTGAGTTCATTTATGCTACATCACTCTACAACTTTTTCAGACCTGTCATGATTTTAGTGAAATAATGACCTTTAACATAAAGCGCATTATTTCATTTAGATTCAAGATAAAAACAAAATGATGGTGTTTATGTTTTATAACTTATTTTTTTATTATTCTAAATATAGTTAGTGTTGTCTTAAATGAGTGAAAGGTATCATCAGATGAGGCAGCCTTTTATAAAAAAATACAGTTATACTGGCGATACGATGAATTATGATACAAGTACCAAAATTATGATATGATGTTTACAGGATTCAATGTTAACCGTAGAATATGTTAAGCTAACAGCCATTAATTTAAAGGTAGCATGCTTAGTTCATTTGATTCGTAATCATTCTATTTAAATTTTCCTTAAAGACTATTTCGAAAAACATTGAAAAACTCACATCTCGCAAACCCCAGCCAGCTAATCGCGCCAATTCATTATGCGGTGGTCTCGGCATCAAAGCCACACGGCTAACAGAATCACTAAATATGAATGCCGTGGTCACCAACACCAAAGCAATATCATTATCTACTGTTTGTTGAGAATAATGTTCATGAATGAGGAAACTACGGGCAGTTGAAAGCACGCCCCCGTTGACGTGTGCGTTACCAACAGCTACTGTTATTGAAGAATTTTCTGTGCAATAGAATAGACAGTGTGCCGCTGTCAATGTTATGCGCTGATTTATGATAGACGAGCCACAAAAATATAATTCACCGTCATCATCATCCTGGCTACATTTTATCCCAAGGTAGGCGATATATGGAAAGTCGTGAATATCGGCTCGTCCACCACCAACCACGAATGGTTCCATTTCACATTCACTCAAAGCCACGCAAGCTAGTAAAATAAAAGTAGTAACTTGCATTATAACTGTTTGTATACTAGCCGAATGGATTATATTGCCACCTTATCGTCTGATTAATGAAGTTTAGTCGTTTTTTTATGACCACTTACTTTGCATAGTCAACTATTGCGTATCCAATATTACAGGACTGCGGCTCAATAGTAGAATATTATTTGATAACCGCAAGTTTTCCCGTTAAAGTCCAAACAATATATAATATAATATAGGCCTTTATTGAATGCCTATAATTTCTTTTCTTTAAGAGGGGCTCGATTGTTAATTAATCAGTTTTTTAATAGAAATCAATCTTTTTCTTTATTTTATACAATATTACTATTAGATTATTAAGTTACAGATAATATTTAGTTCAAACTTTAACAATTTTATGAAAAGTTTAGAATATAAACTTTCAGTTAAAAAAAAAAATTACACTGAATAATGATTCTACGAAAATTATGGGCACATTGTAAGATGTATATTACAATTATAGAAATATATCGTATAAATCAAATCTATTGATACAAGTCGTACATCCAGAATATCACAAATACAGTTAGTCCCAATTATTACCCAAATTTCACAGTAACAGACACACACACAAGTAACAGACACAGTTAGTTATATCTATCCATCCTACAACCTATTTATAAAGAACATATATATTTAAATATATATAAAATGTTTTCTTTGAGCGGCTACTGCTAAATTGTTCTTATAATTCAATCCCTAAGCATGGAAAGGTTCGAGCTTCGAGGAAACTCCGTCGATTAACAGCTTCTTGTACCTAAAGAACTGTTGTGATAAAACCGTACCATACTAGTTTAAACTTACCTCGTAGAATCCTAAGTATTAAAGTTCAACTGGTACCTGGTCGGTATATTTTCGAGCAGTGAATTGCTCTCTCCTTAACCTGAAATATCGACTTGGTCAATCAACTAAGAACCGTCGTAATTTTTGTCCACAATGTTGGCACTATCCTAGATCTAGGCAAGTAACGGTTCGTCGGTAGTCTGCCGGTGGTTATTGCAGATTACATGATACGCTTCAGATTTATAAGCTTGGTATCGGCCGCCCCGAGTCCTAGCTATAACTGCGATACTTAAAGTAAACACCTTTATAATAACTTAATTCTATGTTTAGGTTAAGCGTACTTCGGTTCTGTTAGAATAGTCGTAACAGGAGAATCTGAACAGATTTTTGTAACATGACATGACCAAAGAATCTCTTCAACAATTAGAAATACTGGATAGTCTTCGAATGGTTTAATACACTTTCTTGTGTGTTAAGAACTATAGTCGCTTTTCAGACAATAAAAGTACATCAAAATCAATCCATCTGTTTAGGAGCTCTGATGTCACTTGTTATCAATATGTGTATAAATATTGATAGAGAGATACACAGACACACTACATACATACATAACACAGGCTCTGCCTAGTTTGGGACCAGACTGCCGTGTGTGAAATGTGTTAAAATATTGTTATTATTATTGTTATATAAGATTAAAAATTGTAGTAGCCCGACTACCACACAAGAGGGGATCTTAGCTGAGTAACCAAAATAGAAAATGTTTTTGTTTAACGATTACCTACACAAAACTAATAGAAAAATATGTTTAGACGAAGACACTTGTGTTTTAATTCCATTAAACTTATTCTTATATATCAATCACTATTATATGAGTTACGAATATAGTTGAGTGATAACTGTACTCGTATAAAGGCAAGGCAAGATACAGAGCACATACCCATTAAACACGATTTTAAGGTAATAAAATCGCCTTAAAGCTTGCTTACTCGTAAACCTATCTTGAGTTCATGTAAAGTAAGAAAAAATAAATGAAATCCAAAACAGAATTCAAAAATAAATGTCATCAGAGTTCAACACATTGTAAGTGGAACGTAATCCAAAATATCTAAACTACAGAAGCAAAAGGTAGCGCGATGTGGTGAATGCACCCGCCGAGTTACCACTACTCTTTAGGATTTACTCATGCATGAAATTAAAATGTGAGAAGTATTCGTCCCTTGTCTATGTGGCGTCTAAAAGTTGGTCAAGTTTAAAATAGTTAAATTGTTTCTGCCCCTGTGACTGTCCAAAATCTAAATGTGCTTATCTTAAATGCGTATACTCTTTTTATCTATATTGTATCTAATCATTTAAGAGTAAAAATATGTTTCACGGAAAATACGATAGATAAAATGTAGCTGAAAATTTTAATGAGAATGTCATCTCTAGGCCTGTAATAAAGAAATTGCTCAGACTGATAAGTTAGAATTCGTTGAATGTAATATTGATCGAAAATAATATGAGTTGTATCATAATACCGTAGTAGGGTTCACGGTAGTCGAGCACAAAGAAAAAGTACTGCAAATGGTGGGACCGTTACCTAGAGAAGAGCGGAATAACTGTCGTGTTCCGGTTCCTAGCGTTCTCTTGCAAGCTTTGATTGCTTCGTTCTACCTGGCCTTTTATTGTTTTGCACACAGAATTTACATCAAAGTATAACTCACAAGCTTTAAAATGTAATCTCTCGTGGAATCGGTGAATAATTGTACATATTTGAATATTAGATTTAGGTTGTGATGAATTTCAAATTTAAAACAGTTTAGGTTATCTAAATTTTAGATGGGTTGGCGATGAGTGGTATTCATATTTATTTAAAAACAAACGGATATTTCGAAAATACCTACCCGGTTCGAAACTAGTCGAACATTAGCGAAGTATGCAAAAGAAACGAGCAGACGGCTCATAAATACCGCCGCCCGTCGACACCAACAATTCAAGAGTCACAAGTGCGTTGTTGCCTTTTAAATCAATCCCCTTAGAATCAGGGGCAATAATACTTTAAGGAAGATACGTTATGTTTGCACAAAATATTTGTTCCCTAATATTATACATACATCTATTAATATATTTCAGAACAAAACATACGCGCAAAATAAGTGCAATAGGAAATAGGGCAAGCATAAGAGTGAAAGAGCCATCTATTTGTCATCAGTACAGCGACAGAGTGCATTTTATAAGTTTTTTTTGTGGTACTTATTAGGACCCTTGCAATTTCTGCGTTAGATGTGTAACTAACTCTTGTATGTATATACTATCGTTGATCAGGGATAGGTGGTGTAGGGTCTGATGACTTCACTTGGTGCAAAGCTACAAAAGACTTGCTCTCCGACCGAGCCTGCCCACGTGTGCTGGGGCATGGCTCTACCACGATCATTTGATTTGAAGAAGAACACAGTTAGAAGGCTCAAGAAGTAGTTTGAATACAGGTGTGCGACCTTAATCTGCTCAAGTTTAAACTCAAGTCAGCGACTGCTGTAATGATGTCTCGGGTTCAGTTCCTGGGTCGGTCGGGTGAATATTTGTTTAGGACTTTGGGTGTTTTCTATGTATAATAAGTATGCATCTACAAAAAAACAATAGTATTCTATCAGTCAATCTAGTTTTCATAGTAAAAGCTTTGCTTAGGTTTGATGACATTGTGTGTGTGTGACGAAAAAATTTTAGTATAGCTTTTCTACCATTGTATTCCCATTTAGACCTTTCCTTTTAACATAGTCGCAATTTTCTCGTCTAAATCTTAAAACGATAATATTTTACGTATCTGTCAATCCGGATATATGAATGTGAGTGTATATGTGAAGCAGAATAATACATACATACACAAGAATATTCTGTAATTTACTTTTCTTCTAGCTTTAAGTAATAGACAAAAACGTTAGCGAGAGTTACAGGCGTACTTTATGTCTACCCATCATTTCATGATAAGTTTCAAGCTATGACTAGATCAAAAAAAGACTTCAGATTGGGAAGTTGTCAGCTCGGCTATTTTTTCATGTAGGTTATCATAACTCTATCATTTATGAATCCACTTGGAAAATTCTTTCTTTTCGTTTGGCCTCATTCAAATTTGAAGAAAAATTCCACCATAAGGATGGAAAGAACATACAGAATGCAGAATACAGCTTATTACAATTCAACGTGGAGAGCCATGTTTCGGCACGAATGGGCCGGCTCGACCGGAGTGATACCGCGGCCTCACAGCAAACCGGTGTTAAGCAATTCTTTTCTTGCTTTTCACTGAGTGAGTGAGGTTAACGGAGCTCTATTCCCGGAGTCCCTCGAGCGGGAGTGACTCCAAGGGCAGTGACTTTTGAGTTGCAGGTGTCTATGGGCGGCGATAGTTGCTTAAAATCAGGTGACCCCCCTTATATCTTTAAAAAAATGTAGGTGCATTGATGACAGCGATACTTTTTAGTTAGTTATTTTTTTTCAAATTTAGTATCACTCTCGAGGAAACCAAATAGAAATTACAAAAGTCAGTTATAGCATTTTAATGCTATCAACAAACCGAGAGTCGAAGGAAGTCGCGTTTCCTATTCAAATAATATCTGATAATTTGATCTATCCATTCAGAAATACTTTCGTAAGAAATTCATACCAAATAAATGTCGATATAATAACTAGATTAGTCACGATAAGCATCATGTCTTATTTGCTAGGTAATTTTATTTTCGAAATAGATTAATAGTGCATTACAGTCTTTATTGAAGTTAATTATTTAATTGCGTGCGACTTTAACCTACTACGTTTGAAATAAACTTGTGTAGTACATTGTTATCAGTCACGTAATCAAATTTCATACTAAATATTACAGGCAACAAACAAAAAAAGGCTTGAATAACTGCATTAATTGAGAAGCAATTGATGATGATTAAGGCGCTTTTTCCAACTTTCAATGCCGATCTATCCTGGTACTGGTAGGGTTAGGTAAATTTTTTTTGGAAAGGTACTTCTACTTAATAAAGAAAAATGGATATAAAACTTTCAAGTATTCCTACCTTTAGGGACAGATGGAATAAACCTGAAAATGGATACATCGGTTGGGGAAGTTGAAATAAGTATATACAGGTAGGCATGTTTAACAATCGAATTAGTTTTTTAAATTTTGAATTTATTTGAAATTCAAAATTAACCTTATATGATAAAAAATATTTTTTTTTGTAATGAACTGA